TATGCACTCCTTTGTGCTCGCCTCTTATGTTTATTTCATTACAATATTTACAAAAGGACTTGAGAAATAAGTCACTATGCAAATGGAAGTATGAATACATGATTCAGAGGAATATTAAAATTCATTAACCTTATTTACATTTAAACTATTATCATGTATATTTGAGCACAGTGCACCTGCCAGAATGGATGCGAAGCCACATCAGCACTCCATTGAATAATCTATTCACTGTCTTTATTTCCTTGTCAAGTAAAGTAAAAACTTCCTCATCTTGGACACATTCAAAATCACTACCAAGCTGATTTATTCATTAGCAGTTCTTATTTCTAGAGAAGTCTAATACAAATTTCAAGTTGTCCTTTGGCATTTAGAGGATCTATTCCCATAGAGAATTTTTCCCATCTTTGTTAATTTTGAAGTGCTGTGTTTCTCTTATCACCCACTTGGGAATGAAGGAGACCAAGCTCATCATTTTGAAGACTGACAAATAAAGGCTATGTCTGCATGACACCATACCTGCCCCCCCAAAAAAATCGGTTCTATAAGAAAAGGAAAAATATAAAAGAAAAACAATCAAATTGTGGCTTGGTATTAGGCGAAGCAACCAGTTGATTGGAATTTTCATTTTTCAGTCATTTATTCTGCACTATCTTGATTCAATTAGTGTATAGGATCAAGTGCCAGTCAAAACACTGAGGAGAGCCACCAGGATGATGTTTCATGCTCTCACGGCAATGAGAACTGAAGCTGCCTTAGACTGCCCACTTGCCTTTGGGTTACGGGGCAGAAAAAACAAGAGAAAAAAAATGTTGTATGATCTATAACTGCTGTCTGACAGGGAAAATCCAATCAAAGGGCAGTTTCTTTTTAGTCTTCCCTGGCTTAAGTGGACAACCCCAGATTGTGGAAAGAGAGACAGTATTTAAAGAACTACACCATAGCTGCCAACTACAAGGGCACAAGGGTGGCAGGCAGTCAAAGTGGAGTAGGCTTTTCTAGGGAAAGGCCTGGAGATTAGCATAGGTCAAAATAACAGGAGGAAGCAATACAAAGTTTTGGGCATGGCATCTACAATATCAACTATAGATGGAGTGGTTTACAAGTCTTTGCATTAAAGCTATAGGAAAAAGACGCTTATCAACCTCTTTAGCCAAATCAATACGTGGCAGCAACAACCATCATCCTAATACCACGCATACAAATTGAAAAGTGCGAGCTGAAGGGAGAAGATATTATGAAGATTCAAAGGAGTTAATCATTGTGTGTGTATGTGTGTGCGTATGTGTGTGTGTGTGTGTGTCCCAGAAGAGTTGGAGCTAAGGCCTAAAGACATCTAACCTGAGGAATTAGATGACACTCCCCACCTTCCATCTAGTCACATCATTTGATGTGCATAGAGCCCACAGACCTCCTGTAAAGAACATCAAGTGCAGGGCCAGCCTGGTGGCACAGCAGTTAAGTTTGTGCGCTTTGCTTCGATAGCCTGGTGTTCACTGGTTCGAATCTTGGGCACAGACCTACACACCATTTCTCAAGCCATGCTGTGGCAGGCGTCCCATATATAAAGTAGAGGAAGATAAGCATAAATGTTCTCTCAGGGCCTATCTTCCTTGGCAAAAAAAGAGGATGATTGGCAGGGGATGTTAACTCGGGGCTAATCTTCCTCAAAAATAAATAAATAATTACGTAAATAAATAAAACAACATTAAGAGTCTGCACACCTGAAGGTCCAAACTCATAGACTTGCATGCCCATTTTAGAGAGAGGACCCAAGCTGGCTAAATTATGTGGACCTCTATGGAGCAGAGTCCTCAAGGAAAAAAATAATGGAGGGTGGTGAGAGGAGATGCCTGGCCACCACAGACAGACTCTGCAAAAGAATACAGGCATCTGGGAAAAGCAGTGGTTCCAGGCACTATATCAGCCTTTATCTGAATGACTTTACATGCACTAGAAATCCTTTTGTAAAGCAAATAATCATTGCGTCAAGATTTTCACACTTTATTTTTAGCCTAGAAACACTGTCATCAAACAAAATCATACTGGAAACCAAATTATAAAGCAGAAAGAGACAGAGCTGCTCCAAAGGGAAGAGTGGTAAGCATCCTCCCCAGTTGGGGCTCATCTTACTTCCTACCAAGTCCCTGAGAAGCCCTGAAGGTTAGAGTTTGCAGATCACTGGATAACTTCTGTAGCATTGCGAATCTGAATTTTTCGCTTAGAAAGCTGATCTTGCAGCACACATGATAAAAACAGAACTGAGATATTTTCATTGAACACTGCAAATAAGAGGTTAGGCTATCCTTTGGTTTCCAAGTCATGAGAGCAGAGTTCAGCACAGCTCCGAGAGCGGTCCTGGGGTTGATGTCTAATAGAGCTACCTTGGTCGGAAAACCAATTAATGTGTCTTGGTTCTGTGCGCAAGTCTACAGAGGTTGTGTAAATCACCGCCCTGGGCTCTTCTCTGTGTATTTATTTTCTTAAGGTCGAAAGAAGGTAGAGTCCAAAGTACCTTTATGCCTGAGCGTCAAAGTCAATCTGCCTGGAACCGGGTCCTATGGCATAAACACTTTTACAGCTGAGTAGTTTGATTATTAGATTTAAAACCTTATATCACCAACCAACAGAAGGTCTCTATAAAATAGGAGGCGTAGCAACGAAGGAAGACAACTGGGAATAGGAATACATGCAGGTGGCGCATCTGGTCGAGCAGATGGGAGAATCTGAACTGGAGATGCCCATTTGGGATTATCCTGACACCCTGAACACCCTGCTTCCCTTCACTCTGCCCTAGTATTTTTTAAATTCAATCGTTAGTCTACTTCTACCCACTTTCCCCACCTAAGGTTATTCTCTCCTCCCTACTCCAAACACTATTTTCTATTCTCAGGACTCCCAGCATGGAATCAAAATGTGTCCTATCTGGGCATGTCCAATAGTGAAAATATTTCCAGACCCTGGGACAAGCTGGAGCAATTTTTCTCGCTCACTTTTCTTAACCATACTCTCTCTGCTATACACCATTCAGGGTTGTACTTTCTTGAAAGTTGACAGTTAAAATATTTAACGATGGGAATAATACGGGCACCCATGGCCCTACTAGTACTTACCAAGTGAAGGTCAGTCCATCATTTATGATATACACTACTGCAGTCTTTGATATAAACACTTTGAATCAATAAAACAAGTTCCCAGATTCAAGGAAATCGGGTAAAATGACAGTTTCTAATATATTTGTAGCTATGCCACAGTTAAAGACATCTAGGTGGATTTGTTCTCTTTTAAATAATTGTTATAGCAGATTATTTATTATAAGGATTCAATATATATTTAATTAGTACCTACTACTCTCTATTTTAGCTGAGTCATATTATTCCCACATACCTCACCACACTTAAAAATACCCGTAAACATACACCAGATAAAATCCATACGATAAAATCAGAAATTAATTTCATTCCTAAAAGTCAAACATCTTACTCAAAAGGTTGACCAACTCCTGCCGATTGAGTGTCTCACTCAGGCACTTGATCTTTTCTAACAGAAGCTATACTAACATAAAATTTCTCTTTTGCATGTACCTGCTTCCATTTCTGGGACAAAGAATTATAATATAATCATGAAGAAAGGAAGCTTTAAGACATTTCCTTCCAGAATAAATCAAATCAGACTTAATTTAAAGGTAGGTACATTTTATTTTAAGGACTTTTTATGAAGGAAAAATAAGTCATTAATTTTGATAGTTTGTAGTCTAAGTAAATATACAAACAAGGCTCCCCATGTATTATTTACGTTTTGTGTGTGTGTTGAATTTAATTGTAGAATTAACCTTTTATAAAGTGTTTAAACCAGGAAATTATTTTAGCTAGCCAGAAAGACCAATGTTATGTTTTTCCTTTTGTCTAGTTATAATCAATAACCAATTAGCTAAAACTAGATTGTTCACATTCTGGATTATTCATGGAAAATCCCATTTTTAGCTTTGAAAAGTCCTTTTAAGCTAAAAAAATAAATTTCAATATAACTTTGAATGCTCTTTTTATAGTAAAGATGAATAAAAAGAGGTCAGTTTCTTCAGGCTGATCTCCCCTCGGTAAGATAGATTAACTCAGGTTTGGAAACGTGATATTAGTGGTTCGCCTAAGGCTCCTGGGAGAAAGGGACTACATCTTACATGACATTGATTTAGAAAGCAGAATGCCAACTTCTTAATTTACCACCATAGGATATTCCCTCTGGAAATGGTCACCAGGAGACGAAGTCACAAATCAGAAAGATGTTAATGACCCTAGAACTAGGGGGAAAACAGTCCTGGTTAGCTTAATGTATGGAAATTAATCTAAAGTATGGAAACTAATCTAAAGCAGTGATTCTTAAGCTTTAGCTTGCATCAGAATCACCTAGAGGGCTTGTTAAAACAGATTGCTAGACCCCACTGCTAGCATTTCCAAATCCTTGCGTGTGTAATAGGACCTAAAAATTTGCATTTTTACAACTTCCCAGGTGATGATGACACTGCTGGTCCCAGGCGCATAGTCAAGGGAACCAATAAATCATCCTTGCCCACTGATGGATATATTTGTCTGTATAACTAGTATTGCTGTTTAGAGCTAAAGTCCATCCTCCCCTGAACAATGGTGGATTCACAAATTTTTACTCTCCAGGCGAGGAATTCTTTATCAGTCAACTACGGGACAGCTATAGCTCACATTGTAATTCTCAAAAAGTTTATGTATACTACTTGTGCTTTAGATTAAAGCCTTCCCAATGAAATCATTTGGAAGCGTGCTATTTTCTCTTTTAAAAGCAGGTTTACAATAGATGTCTTAAACGTACTACTTTAGAAGGTTGTTAATCCTATACACCGAACAATGATTTTTGTTAGTTTTTGCTTCAGTCTTCAACATTTGACAAATTTCAAGATCTGAAGATGCCACCTGGATCAGTAAGCGTTACATTGACCTAAAAGTTAAAAAAAAAAAAAAATTGATCTATAGAAGCCTTGACCACAAGGTTTATTTTTTCGCATAATAAGAAATCTGAATTGAAGCAGTCCAGAGCTGCTGCAGCTTTTCGAGCGTGCTGTCAATGACCTCGACTCTTGCTTCTTGCTCTGCCATCCCTCGTATGTTGGATTTAGTCCTCTTGCTTATTGCCTCATTGTAAAAAGATGGATGCTTCATCTTCAGTCTCATGTCATTGCTCTAAGCAGAAAGAACAACAAAGTCAGGAGGAAGGGAACGTACCTATATCAGAAACTGAAAAGCTTGCCATGAAACTCAATTTAAATTTCCTTGGCTGGCACTATGAAAAATGACCTCTCCTAGTTGTTCAGAAAGGTGAGACTTTTTAGCTGGATACATAACTGTCCCTCTCCCCATCAAACTGGTGCTCCATTAGGAAAGATAAGGGGAAGAGCTCATTTACCGATATATGTTCCACTGCCATATTTGAATATCACATCCCCATCCAAGAGCTCAGCTCTCACTACAATAAAGGATGTCAGAACAGTCCTGAAAATCTTCAGCCTAGACACAAGATCACCAGATCAGGTCATAAAGAAAGCAAGCAAACACTCTTTTCTTCTTTTGCAAGAACTGCAAATTCCACCAAATAATTAGCGTGAAATATCACTGTCACTAGCGATACCCAAAGTGCTAGAGATCTGTGAACACATCTATGAATAAGAGTATTCTCATCAAATATTCCTCTAGCAGCCCAAAGGCCCACGTTCCACAGGTAGGCAGGACTCTAGAAAGGATGTTTCAGTCATTTCCATTATATATTGCATGCTACAGCGTTACACTGGCTAATAAAGGGTTACAAAATTAAATAAGACATCATCCCTGACCTCAAGGAACTAGAGACTAATTTGCGAATGATCAGAGTAGGAAGAAAGAGGCAATGACACATTGGATCTTGTTTCTTTTACATCCATTTCTTCTCCAGCTACACAGGGCAGCTGATCTCTGTATAAAGTAACCAAAAGTAGTACGGTCGTGAATGAACAGAATTTCTGGTCCCTAGCAGTGGAGATTCACTGTTCAATTATTGTATCTCCTCCACCCCCAAGGAAAACTATCTCCCAAACTAAGTCTGGCATCGTGGTTAAACATGCGAGCTGTGGGATTAATGCCAAGCTCTTATACTTTCTTATCTGATACTTGGGCAAGTGCTTAACCTCTGCACCTTGGTCTCTTCATCTGAATATGAATAATGATAACAGAATCGATCTCCTAGAAGCTACATGGACACCCTTGGAACTGTGCTTGACAGAGGAGCACTAGAGGAGCATTAGCCCGTGCTTGTCAACATCGTCATGTGTAAGAAGCTAAGCATTTCATCATACACCATACTCCATACTCATCCTCTGCCTCATGCAGTGCTTGGACCTTTTTCATATAAACCTCTAAAATTTTTGCTCAAGAACTTTCACCATCTGTTGGTGGTGAAAAGGATCTTTTCCCCATCCTAAGGCCTGTTCCTAGAATCAGTGTCAATGGCGTCAAAGCTTTTATGTGGATTCCAGAATGGAAAGCCAGAGGATGAGTTTTCTTGCTTTTACAATAAAATAGTTGGCAGGACCCAGGGAAAACAGTTCCTCTTTTTAGGGTAGAGTCTCAGATTCAAAGCAATTGAAGCAGAAATTTGACTTCACTAGAATTCTTTTGACTACCTGAGCTCATTTCTCCATGTGCTCAAACAAGGCAAAATAAGTCACAAAGGAGTAAGGCTGGCAGAAGTTGAAATATAAAGAGCATTATTTTAACCTTAAACTGGCAACTAAAAGACCCCCAACCAGGTAGTCCCAAATAGATCTGGCATTCACACCCAGAGATTTGGGATTTGGCTGCAGTTAATTCCAGAAGGCCAAACTGAGGCTTGGGACTCACCTTCCGTTTGATGCCAAACAGGTCCAGCACTCATCGGCTCACTCACAGACATCACCAGCTCCCTGAGGAGGAGCGATTTTCACAGTTCAGGGCAGACCAAGATGAAAACAGAAATGATTTTCTGTTACACTAACGTATACAAGAGTCTCTTCCAGATGGTAGTCCACACAATGTGTTAGTCCTTTCCTGTCACCTTCGTGAGGCCAGGGCTGCGCATCCCTCCTCTCTCTCTTCAACCCCCTACAGTTCTAGCCCTGCATCCTGAACACCATGGGTGTTCAATAAATGTTTGCTATATGTATAAATGGCTGATAATTCAAAGGCCACCTTGGGTGCAATGACTGCTGGCTGGTTATCGCTGAATGAGATATCCCCTACTGCAGTCCGTTCCAAAATAGGATTAGAAACAGCCTCCATGGGCACACCAGAGGACCATAGCCAAGAGAATCTTGGCCCTGACTTCAGCATTCAGCATCACTGGGACCTTGCCTTGGAAACCCGACAGAGAATCCACACCAAGAGTGGAGCCAAGCCATTGTCTGATGAGGCCCTCAAGGATGCAGGAGGAAGGAGTGCCAGGTTGGCTCAGCTGTTTGGATCCCTTCAAACCATCCCCTCCTTGATTTGTCAGGTTAATCACAGCTGCCTAAATCCTCCTAAAATTTGGAAATTCAAGAACTGTAGCACTGTTCCATTATCCCATTAGGGATACATCTTATTCCTATTTTCGTTACAGCAAGCAGATAGACGTGCCTATTCATCACCCTTAAAAAGTGCTAATTAAGGTCTGGACACTCATCTCAATTCCTTTCCTTACCTTGAGAGTGAGCATAAAACTGCAATTCCCAGCTATCACCATGATCTAATTCCTTCAGGCTTCAGAGGGTTCGGTGGCTTGCCTCCTCCTAAATGAGGATAGAGGTCTTCTTAATTCTCTTTTTTGGACACTTTATATTCACCTAGGCACATATCTTGCAGCATTCCTGCAATTCATGCTGGCCTCAACATGTCTGTTTTGTGCCTAGGCAGACATTTGACATTCATGTTGGTGGCTCAGAATCTAAGCCCTTTCTACATTTGCTGCATTCCTATCTGAAGAGCTTGCTATCAAAGCCAAAAACACTAGGTACTTGCTTTCCTAGCATTATTTATAACTAGGCTCAAACTTGTAACCAATTAAAAAGAGATGCATCCACGCTGGACTGGACTCAGGATCTAAGGACTCAAGCAAGAAAGGATAAAGGGATCTCTCTCTCTCTGTCTCTCTCTCCCTCTCCCTCTTTCTCTCTCTCTCTCTTCCTATGCAGTGGCAGCAGGAAACAGTAGCTACAAGGTTGAAACCTTGACAACAGTGGTGTCTGCGTTGGTTGTGTTAAAATCACTTTCCTAGTACAGAAGTGGTACACACGTCTGTATCTATGTCTTAGTGATGGCTGAAGACCACTTCTCATGCATTGTTTGGGATGTTGATTCTGGCAGCTTTGCCTCTGGCTTGGCACGGCAGCCCTCCCAAGGATTCTGTAATTTCTCCCCACATCTTTTTGATAAATTCTTTTTCTCCTTAATCACTCAAAGTTGATGTCTATTATTTGCAACTGAGAGCTCTAACTAATGCAATAAATTTCCTATAAAACTGACACTTTTCACCAAAATCTCCTAATAGTAATTGTTTTGGACCTCTATGAGCTAAGTCTAAATCTTTATTCAGGGTACAACTTTCAGGCACCCAGACAGGCACATTGAGAAGGTACAAAGGAAGGCCAAGCTCATCCAGCTAGTAAATGCCAGACCTGAGACGTCGATCCAAGTTTTTTGACTCCAGATCAAGTACTCTTTATTTTATTCTGTTTTTCTCAGCACAAATAACCAAATCCCTCTTGCGTTGTCAAGCCAGCTTAAGTAAGTGCTGTATTTTACATTTTCTTGAAATAATTTTAATATTATATTAAAAGTATGATCTACACATCCTCACCCAACGAAAGCCTGGCATGTTGTTTCTCATTGTCACACAGTGTAGATCATCACTAATAACACAGTTTTGCAGACCACTCAAGGCAAAGCTTGCACTAAATCTATGAAACCTTTACCCTACTCACAGCTAATTGGCCACTCTGCAGTGTGCATGTCTGTTCCCACCCATGGAGTTGTATTTTTGTCAAGAATCAGTTGTGTTAGTTCTGAAACCTATTCATGAAAATTGTACTTGTTATTACAATTCCAGAATTTAATAAAATATTCAGAAAAACCAATGAAATACTAATATAAAGGGAATTTATGGCTTTGAACAGATTCAACAGAGGCAAACAATGAGAAATTAGGAGGTTTATAAACATAAAACTGCAAAAAGTCATAGAAGTGTAGGAAGATTCTGTTCTCAGAATGCTTTCCAACTATATTTAAGTTCTCAATCTAATCTAAAGATATTGACACTGGAAATTGTGGCAGATGCATTGTGGAGATGGTTTATGTAAAGCAGAAAAACAGATATTCCAATCAGCAGAACAGTACTTAAAAGAATGCCCTCACCTCATACCAAAAGATTGAAGGATGAGTATGCGTATGCATGTTTTAAAGTCTATTTGCCATGAATTGTGTAAGTTATCATGCATCCTCTTTTATGACTCTCCACTTTTAGCTGACTTTGTTGATTAACTGACCACCTCCTGGGTCTGTTCACATCAGACAGGAGGCCAGTACTGTAATTCTATTGATGGTCACTCCTGGCAGAAAAACTCACATATTCTGGGCAATGTAGTTATGGGACAGGCTTGATTATCTGTGGTCTGTGTCAGCGTGCTGTTGAATTAGAGTTTTAGATCATTTCTGCTGTATAAGCCAGCTTCCATGACGTAGACTGTTCCTCCTGTTCATAAAACAGAGAACTGGGTATTTAGTGCTTGCAGTAGAATTCCCAGAGACTTAGCTCTCCTAAAAAATTCATTTATGTTTTGTCTTATGCAAGAAGTTAGTCCTGAGAAAACACTAAGAGATGTGAAGTTTTACATCCAAATCAGTCCAAATGTACCAGGTTATAATCTAGAATTTAAGAGTGGCAACTTTTATGATCTTCTATAGATGATGGTGGAGAATGGATAGTAACATGCCCAATTTCCCTACTAGTGACCATTGGTCATACAAATGTATGACAATTCAGATTCTTCCTCCAACATAATAATGCATCCATTCTTTCATATTCAGAAGTTATTAATTGAGCACTTACTGTTACGGATTGAATGTTATGTCCCCTCCAAATTCATATGTTGAAGCCCTAATCCCCAAAATGATGGTATTCGGAGGTGGGGTCTTTGGGAGGTAATTAAGTTTAAATGATGTCATGAGGGTAGAGCCCCATGATGACATTAGTGCCCTTATAAGAAGAGGAAGAAACATGAGATCCCCTCCCCACTCTCTCACACTCACTTTCTCTCTTGCTCTCTCTCTCTCTCCATGAGCACACACCAAGGAAAGGCCATGTGAGCACAGAGTGAGAAGGTGGCTGTCATCAAGCCATGAAACGAGCCCTCACCAGACACTGAATCTTCTGGCACTTGATCTTGGACTTCCCGGCCTCCAGAACTATAAGAAATAAATTTATGTTGTTTAAGCCATTCAGTCTATGGTATTTTGTTATAACAGCCCAAGAAGATTAAGACACCTACTATGTGCCAAAACCTATTCTAAATACTGCATTTACAAGGGTGAACAAAACAAAGTTTTGCTCTCTTGGAAGTTAGATTCTAGTGGAATCACTTCTCCTCCCCACCAGTCTGCAAGCTCCTGGTATGGAACAAGTTTTACCTAAATCCCCTTTGTATTTCTAGCACTTAGCACAGTGTCTGGCACAAAGTAAATGTTTAGTGAGTTGAATTAAATAAAATTGAATCAAATAAAATGCAATTGCCTGAGAGTAAGATCTCACCAAACTTGGTAGTTACTTTCCTATCATACTAAAGGTTTGGACTTCTTTCTATTTCTCCAAAATTAATTTGAGTGATATAACAACCTTGTTTGAACTATGCCTCAACTGCACATAGACAACCTTATCTCCCAAGGAGGATTTTTTTTTTTTTTTTGGCAAAAACAGACTTCTCTTCAGAAAACTGAATTTAAAAAAATTACATCAGGACTTCCAAAACAATTTTTAAATATGACAAGTTTACATACAGGAAACTTAGATCCTGAGAGCGGGTTCCAAAGTAAGCAATACAAGCAGTCAAAAACCAAGATATATAACAAGAGAATTTCATCCAATCCCAGGATAAAAGGAATAAGTGTTACATCCCTAAAACTGTGTGTAGACATTCTGAATGTGTGTGCATGCATCAGCACTAGTCATTTTATCTTCTCCCTACACTATTGGAACTTAATATTTCAAAAATTTTTTTTTTATTTTTCCAGTTCATAGATAGTTTTAACACAGAAGTTTTAATTCAGCAGATATTTGAAGGCATCCTTTGTGCCAGGCATTGTGCTAAAGACTCCAAATGGCTTTAGGATACAGCATCATCCAATTTTCACACTGATTTCTTCCCTGAAGAAACAGAAACAGATAGACGTTCTCCCTTAAATCTGCTTCCACAGACTAGACTTTTCACTGTCTGTGAGAAGAAAGCTGCCATATAATTCTCAGGACTTGTCTCCTTATCAATCCTAAAAGGAAATTATTATCTTTAAACAGTAGAAGAAAAGTACCTTGCCTCCATGAAATCTGATAGTCTGTTCTGGGGATGTTGTTTTCTGGAGCTGGCAACTGCAGTTCGCTTGTATTGACAGTTTCTGAAGAAACCATATCTGGTGAGGCCAAAGAGGAGAAGGTTCTGGTCTACCACACCCTTCCTGCCCTTTCTGGACTCCAGGGCAACTCACCTGGAGGAATGAAGACAACCTTCTCCACATTCCTGGGAGCTCACGTAAAGCACTCATCGATGCTTTAGTAAGTAAAGCAAACTGGAATTTTAACAATATTATTAGTGCTATTATTCCTTTTTTTTTTAAAGGTAGGCTTTTTGATGAGGAAGATTGGCCCTGAGCTAACATCTGTTACCAATCTTCCTCTTTTTTTTCTCCTCAAAGCTCCAATACATAGTTGCATGTCCTAGTTGTAAGTCATTCTAGCTCTTCCATGTGGGATGCCGCCACAGCATGGCTTGATGATTGGTGTGTAGGTCTGCGCCCAGGATCTGAACCAGCAAACCCCAGGCCACCAAAGCGGAGCATGAGAATTCAACTACTTGGCCACAGGCCTGCCCCTGGTGATACTATTGTTAATGCTGGTCTCAAAAACAAAGCAGTAGACCCAGGGACCAGGAGGGAGAGGGAGGGTGCTGAAACTGTCAGGAGGTGACACAACATCAAACATTCAACTGACAAACTGTAGTCTATGATAAATCATCTAGATCTTCCAAAGATGTAAAAATAAAATACACTGATCTTCAGAAATGTCTCCTTCAAACAGAGATTCATGTAGCCCTGGCAGCAGTAAAGCCTAATGGTCTGGGGGAAGATTGAGGTGGAGTGGAGTCGATTTTAAGTTTCTTTAATTGATGTAATAATCATCAAGAGGATAAATAGAGAAAAGTGAAACAATATATTTATCAGAAAAACTGAGAATACGGGATCTCAGAATAAACTCTGAGACATGGATGTCTGTTTCCCTGAGGCTTTAGATGGCTCATCCAGTTTGTACCTTTCAGAAACAAAACACCAAAGAGTGAAAATTATTCACGCCCTCCGGACGATTGCCAGCCCATCTCTAAAGTCCCTCACTTTGGGAAGCTAAGCATATGGACAAAGAGAAAGCAAACGGTGTTTGGTTAAATGCTTCTTCAAAAAAATTGAAGGTGGTTTTCCCATTGTGCTCTTTTTCCTCCCTCTAGGCACAGCTTCTCCTGGATGGAGCTATGTTATACAACTGCACTTGCAGTGAGCCGATAATCGGCTGGCCCCAAAGGAGTTCTTGGCATACCAGGAGAATATGTTACTAGATGGGCCCCAAAAGAGGAGCATCTGGTTGCCCTAAGTGTAATGCTTGCGTCAGAGAAATCACCATAAATAGCTTTAACAGAGACCAAATGTGTCCGCTTCAATCCAGGGTTTTATCACCCACCAAGGGAATTTATCGGGGTGAAGGGCGAGGGGGAGTGAAGTCATTTTAGCAGGGCATGGTTCATAACTCTTTTATTAGGACCAACAGGTCAGAATCTTTAATAGCTGTGAGAAGGAAAGTTAAAGTCCTTGTTTTCCAGGCACATTTAAGGAATGAAAACAGAGAAAATGGAGAAAGAAGAAAACTAGTCCTTGCAAAGGCCAGGGGAAGAGGAGCAATTGTATTTAAAAGGTGATTTGGAGAATTAGAGAAGGTTATATGTGCTTTTTTGGCTTAATTGAAATGTGCTTTGGTCGGGGAAAAAGTCATAACTAAAATTTCCCTAGGTGTACAATATTCTGATCCTGGTGAATTCGGGATTTTCTTACCCTGTCTCCAAAGAAATGAATTGAGAATTCTAGTCTTAGGAGAATTATCAAGTACTAAAAGTGAAATAGCAAGCTTATTCATAGGAGGAATATAACCATCAAACACACTGGTTTGCTGCAAATTAACAGAAAACACAAAAAAAGTAGGTAATTGAAGTACATGTCTGCTCACAAAGTGCACGCATACTTAAGAAATATTGATTTTACTACTCAGCCATAAAAAAAGACAAAACTGTCCCATTTGCAACAACATGGATGGTCCTTGAGGGTTTTATGTTAAGTGAAATAAGCCAGAGAAAGACGAACACCATATGATTTCACTCATATGTGGAAGATAAACAAACACATGGACAAATGGAACAGATTAGTGGTTACCAGAGGGGAGGGAGTTGGGGAGTGTATGAAAGGGGTAAAGGGGCAAATATGTATGGTGATGGATAAAAATTAGACTATTGGGGGTGAGCATGACGCAGTCTACACAGAAACTGATAAATGATAATGTACACCTGAAATTTCACAATGTTATAAACCATTATGACCTCAATAAATTTTTTTAAACAATTATTTATTTTATTTGCATGGTAATATGCAGACTTGTGGCATGGATAAAGCACGCTTTAGTATATTGTAAAAGGTACATCTCACTCTATTTCTGAGGAGGTCAGAGGAACACCATACATAAAAATCAGTGGATTGAATTCTGGTGAAATACAATCTCAAAGGGAAATTCAGGCATCCCGTGGGGAACCTACAGGATCAACTAAATTGCTGGCATTTGTCCTTGTCAGGATGGCAGAAAACACCAATATGCTGCTCCTGTTAGAGACTGCCCAGTGTCCTAACACCAGTAGAATCTTCTTGCTTTGGAAAATTATTCTGAACTTGGACAAGAAATTCGACCACAGAGACCACTGCACTCCCCTCTCTACCTCCTTAGGTGATTGTTTTAACTGCTCTGAATCCACTCTCCAAAGAAGTCCTTACTTGTTAGATGTCTTTTGGACCAAGTTGTATGTACTTCAACCTAAATAATGTTGGCTAAGTGGAATAATAAAAAATAAACAAGCATATGGGTAAAACTGAGGCTTCTATCTTATTCTGTCTTCCAAACTATTCCTTTCAGATCTAATTGTGTGCAGCAAATTAAATCAGAAATGCTGCAATCCCACCATTCTTATAATGAAAGAGCTACCTGCCATCTTCAACAGCACGTTACAGCATGCAAACAACCCGAACCTTACTGCAGATGATTGATTGAGACACTGAAGGCATCAAAATCCTATAATTGAGCTGTCTGAACAATATCAAACGCTCACAAAGATGTGGTGAGGAAAGACCTCAGACCTATCTCATCCCAAATAAACCCTGTTCAATTGGGATCACCAGCCTCCTTACCTTTTTCTCACCCTGTAACCCATGACGTCAACCACTATGAAGTCTTATCTTTCCCTTGCCCAAGCAGAATTGTTTGACTTAACAAAGGGCCAATACCTTGACCAGTACACTGTATACACTCTTTATATTTTCTCTTGTTGAACACATGCCTCCAACATCTTTTGACTCTGGAAGCTGCCTTTGGTCTCTGCGCCAAACCTGCATTTGTTGAATAACAATTACCAAACCCGCGTTTGTTGAATAACAACTCAGCAAGGCTCTCTGACCTCTGCCACATCTGACATTTTTCCCTCTGGGTCATCTTGCTGTCCTTCATCGCAGATGTCGACTATAATTCATCCCTTTTGCTAAAGCCACAGAAAGACAGTTCTCTCGAAAGCCGATGCCAGCA